TTCGACCATATTTAATGTTGGTGTTAATTTTGTTGATGAAGTTCTTTAGGTAGTGATTTTTCTTCAGAGTCTCAGTAATGTTTGATATTTTTTCTTAGCCAACTAAACAACGTGAAAATTACCCCATGTTGATGAACGATGATTAGATTTGTTATACATAAGCTGAGGAGATTTTGTAAATTCTTGTTTAATATTACTACTTTTATAAAGCTATTAGCAGCAGCATTAAAGAGCGAAATGTCACTAAAAACGACAATATCGTTTTGTTTTTCATTCATTCATTGGGAAATACAAAATTACCTTTATAATAATAAGGAATATCATATTCCCCATGCTGAAATATTTTCAAACTGTTAAAAGTGAACTTGGTTTGGACATATATAATAATTGACACCCATTGCACAAGTGGAGTCGGTGGCACATGTGGTCCAGGGTTCCATCCACGGCCACCGACGCAATGCTTTACCTCACTAAGCCAGTAATATGACTGGCAAAGAGGGAAGGTTGGTGGCATGAGGCTAGCAACCCGTAAAACTAAATACCACTGCTACTTCAAAGCTGCAGCTTGAAGCCTTATGTTCCACACTGGGAACGTAAAGGAACAAAAGAAAATCGCACAAGTGAGGGTGGTCTCAATGGATAACACGCTTTGATATTTGAAACCAGTGGTGTACTAGGTTCAAGCCAACCATCAACACTCACTGGGGAAGGCAGGATCCTCGATCCCAGCTGCTACTAGTCGTCCTACCTTGCACTAAAATTAAAATCCATTACATGTTATTATTTTTTCATTTATTTTATTATAGTTTGGTTCCACACAGTATTTTTTGGTACAACTATGGAATTTTCAGCATGTGATGTTGGTAGCCCAAATTTAGCAGGCTGACCATTGATATCAGGTGTGCGTCGGCCAGGAATCGAACCCCGGACGATATGCATGGTCGGGGAGCGTCCTAACCACTGTGCAACCGACACATTTGATTCCATGAAATAAATGTATAAAGGCAAGCATGTCAATGAAAGACGCTATAGCCAGTTTCAAGGTCATGATGGGTTCCTGAGTCCACTGCTTATCTGTTTTCGTGAATTCGTTTTCCATTGAAATTTAAAGGTTTTTTCGGATGTTTTGCTTATTTTGTAGTGTGTAGGTCACCTTTTGTCACTGGATGCTACTATGAAGCTTATTTTTTAGCCTGAAGTTCCCAGTTATTATGTTGGTAGTTAAGGATTATGGTAAACTTGCAATCATTGAGCTAATTCACGTATACTATGCTGATATAGTAACATTCTTTAGTAAGTAAACTCCGTAACTGTTCTGCCATTGTTTGATTATTTGCTTAAACTGAAACTGTGCGCTGGTTTATCAGTATGACTGGCTGTAATTCACCATCTTGCTCTTCTTCTACACATTTCCAGAAGTAGATTATCAGCCTTATTGCAGCCCTCCTAGCCCAGGTTCAGCATCCAGTGTTCCTTTTTAAGAAGGATCAGGGTAATTTCAGTAAATATTGGGTTCACTTCAAGTAGATAAAATATTCATTTACCGTAAAAAGGCATTATTGATGCGTTGGTTAGATTTTGCTAAGAATTGTTGTAAATTTGGCCTTTTAAGCGTCCCAAGCTTATAATAATGCTGAATTAAATCTCACTAATTCTGAAATAATTCTATAGTGAGTAAATTCTGAATTTGTTCTGAAATGGATTCTTTAATGGCACAGACTAGAACTCATTGCAGGTTTTTAGCATGACTGGCACTAATTCAGCACCGTGTTCTTTTTCTAGGCATTTTCAGGAGTACATTAGAACCTGCTGGGTTTGCTTATCAGCGTTGTTCCAGCCCTCACAGGACATATTAGGCACGACCAGCGTTATTTCAGAAGATAGTGGGTAGATAAAATCTTCATTTACCATAAAAAAGCATTATCGAAGAATAGGTTAGAATTAGTTTAGAATTGTTGTAGGCTTGAGGTTGCTACGGTTTAAGTGATAAATCGTATTAGTCAACGTTACTCAGGATATCCTATGAACTAGGAATTTTCGGCTGATAAAACCTAGTAAATAAGGCACAGATCGGTGTAATTTATAACTGACTTCCAAAGCATTCTCATCACGAAACAATCAATCAAAGTATGCTTTAAACTGTCACTCTTAGGCATTTAAAGGGAAAGGAAGTGTAACAGCAGTTTAAACATACATGTTTATTTTATGAATACATCCAGAAACATTAAGGTAATACAAACATTTTCACAAACGTGAGTGATTAACAAGGGCCCGTTGTGATCTTAAAGTTGTCTGCGGTTTATTTACTAGCAAACTGTCCAACCTTCTGGTGAACTCTGTTATTTCCCGCAGTGCAGCATCCGGATTTCATTGGAAATGGGACATACCACAGTTTAGATATGAATTCAAGAAAGCCTCAACGACATGCGCACATGGCAAATTGTATGCACAGTATGTCCAACATGTGCATTTCGCCTCATTCCTGTTTACAAAGAAGATGTGACTACCTTCTGCGTAATTAACTGAGGTGGAGGATATTGAATGGAAGAAGAAAAAGCGCCTTTGCAAGTCTAAAACAACTTTCTTGGCAGCAAAGGGTGTGAGACGCCGTAATATAGACTGTAGCGATGTATGCACCTAGAAAAAATTGTAAATTATATTGAAACTTAAATCGTAATTGTAATATTTACAAAGCACCCACTGACCCTGACGTATTTTATGTATGGTTGTGTGATCAGTCCACCTCCATATTTTCCATAGCGTCAGTTCTAGTGGATCACCTTTGCGTAAATACCTTTTCGGCTGCCTATGAGCATTCTCCACCCTGTTGTTAGTTTGGTTCCTCATGCTGATGGCGAACCGGTTGCACGATGCAGCCCAATATTTCCGTGTTCTTAGCCAGTACCTTCTAATGTAAGCACCAGCCTCAGCGTCTATAATACTTATGAGGTTTAGGTAACTCCAAAACCTTTGGCAATATATTCTGAATTGTTAACCTACCTGTCATAACTGCGCATGTGCTCCATTCGATACAACCACTTTTTAACACGTTGATTTGGGGACTGTTTTCGCTATGTTAATTAGTGGGAATGAAACTTACCTTCCTTCTGAATGCCTGGCATACATGGAAAAGACATAAAACAATGCTGCACCAAGGGAATTCCTCCTTTAGAGCGTTCATCTGTGCAGTTGCACAGTCGACAGTGAATGTTAGGGTTTTTGATGTATCAGTCATAAATCTCTTAAACGTCTGCAATGTCTCCTTGATATCTGCAAACCTTTCCCTCCTAGTAAGAGTAAATAAAACAGTCCTTCCTCTTCCAAACCCATCAGTCACAACAGACTGATATAAAGGCCATCTGTAAAAAATTTGTAGAAGGAATTATACCTTCCTCTACTGCATCTTTCCCCATCTTATTCGTTTTATAAGTACAATCAATCCCAAGTGCTTCTGGAAACTTATGATAGAGGTCTATCATATCATTACGAGCTGTCCTGCAGAACACTAACTGTACCTGTCTGCTTCAATCGATGAAGGAGGTCTTGTAAACTACCGATTTCTATTCTCTACTGCCCCATTTATTTTGATACTACTTATGTTTATTTATCCTAGCCCACATGTTTTTAATATCATTATACAGAAGAACTTTGACAAATTTCTCATGCGCTAAATCCATGATTTCATGGACATCAGTGTTCCTTTCAATAAACGGTTGCACAACTGTCATTTCCTCTGATGATATAGCCGACGTCTAGATACATCGGTGGACATGAAACTTGCTGTGCATGGATGGTTATGCACATTTTGGTATTTTGTTATCTTGTATTCTTCGGATGTCCACCGTACTATAATTGTCGACTGACATGAAATACTTTTGAACCGTCAAAATTTTCAAAATTTACACGCACAGCCAACTTACCCTCTGTTCCTAAAGCCAACACCTCGGGAGCACGTTTACCTCCAAAAGTGCATTTATACCTCACAAACTTATATTCCATAGGACCGGATGGATCTTTTTTACTTGAATCAACCCAATAGGATGTGTTGGATTACTTTAAAAGAAATACGTCATAAGCTTGCTTAAACTGTACCCACCACTGTTGTGACCTAGTAAATTGTAGTTGATTTATGCTGACCTAGTAAGCATAAATCACACAGGTCACTAAAATGACAACTTAAAAATGTGGACTTAAAATAAATGTATCGAAATTATTGTTGATTTATATTCACTTACTAGAAATTCTCATACATCTCAATGTACTTTAAACACTACTAATGCATCCAAGTTGCATGTGACTCATCTACACTACACTCACATCAAAAAAATTAACACACCATTATAATATTATGGTAAGGTAAGTCTTCAATTAAACTGCCTGTAAATTTCCTGCCTGTCAAAATAAAAAGATTACCGCTTTAACTTATATTTTAGACCAATAGGAAGCCAACTAGCCAACAGCCAATCAAAATCTGCCTAAATCTATTTTGACATTGACAGTTAATTACAATTGCTTTCAATTCATCAACCAGCCGATATATGATGTAACATTTTAAAGTATTGGTTTTGTAAGGAATTTTATTTGATGGGATTGGAGGATTTCATCATGAGCTGATATCAGTTAGAGAACAATTGGAAACCCCCCTCCGTCGTAGTCTGGGACTCCTCAGCAGTACGCACCCACCATTCGGGTTTGAACGCAGGACCTTCTAGTTACAAGGCCACTGGGACCAGACTGATCCATTGGCCAGTGCATGAATTCTAACTTCTCACCTAATTCATGATATAGCGCGACCACTTCACAATAATGTCTTCTTCGATGAGTTACTGCCCCACCTTTTAACGCAAACATACATTTTCAAGACGGCGGGTGGGAGATACGATAAGCTTGATTGGACAATGAACAATGAGTTTTTCAAAAAGGAAAATGTTTCACTGTATAAAACTCACTTGTTTACAAAAATATATATTTGTGTGAAACCTTTATTTACATAAATGTTTCAAGCATAAAGGATATTCAAATATTTTTGACAATAGTACAAAGTCGTCTACATATATTTTATACCTTCGTTGAAATAAAGTTGACAGTTTTAAATATGAATACATCGATGTCTGTTCTCAAAATTCAATAAACAAAATTATTATATGCATGCGCCCACATGTATGTGGTGTATCTATGGTCCCATTAAAAAGATAGGGGAGGCGTGCAGGAGGGAGGGTGGGTGCTATGTAAGACTAATGTGGAGCATAATTGGGCAATAAAGTAATACAATAATAATACTAATAATAATAATCATACTGGATTTAAGCGAAAACGGGGAATAAGGTCTCTGTTGTAGTCATCGTTATGCAATTATTACACATGTATAATTCACAAAATAAAAAAGTGCGAAAAGATAAGCCATAATGTCACAAAGGCGGCGTTTAAGCTGGAGGCGGAGTAGAGACGGAGGCGGAACAAGAAGAGGAAGCGTAAAAAAGGCTGGCGATGAGAATGGTGCAAGCTTTGGTGATGATAAGATGGAAGGTTACACAGGGTTGTTGAATCAGTTTACATACGAATAGAATATCAAAAGTATAAAAAAACAAACACAGTGACAGTAGTGTGTATCAGCAGTTCGGGTTGTTAATAAATAAACGGCACACATTATAGAAATTCTTTTCTCCCGATCCCTTGTCATCATCATCACATCATCAGGATTATTTTGTATCACCCCAAGAAAGTTGAGGAGATGATGGTGCAGCAGATTTCATGTGATTATCATTTTCTTTTACAGTGTCAGAAGCAGTTTCTTGTACAACAACTTTTAAAACTTTCTGCAGAGTAACTGTGACTCGATCTGTAAAAAATAAGGTATATTTAAAGATATTTGATTGTAAATAACATTTATAATAATAATAATAAACAGATATTTAGAAAAAATTATTTGAAACGATCCATGTTGAATGAACGCCTTAAAGAAGATTGGAATCGTCCCAGCTAACTAAAAACACATTTATGAAATAAAGAACCGTGTGTATTTGAAATGATTCTACTGTAAAGTAGAGACAAAAGACTTGGTAACGGAGTGTTTATTTGGAATTAACATAGCCTAGTTAACTAACTAACTTGATAGTTTACTAGCTGGTCCCAAGACCGGGTAAAGAGGGAGGGTTAGACGTGGGGCTGGCAGCCCTACACAACAAAATCTACCGAACGGTAGGTGAACATAAAGAAGAAGGAGGTGATGAAGGTAAACAACTAACAGCAACAATCACCATCAACGGGAGAAATTTGACAGAGGTTACTTCCTTCACTTATCCAGCCAAGAAGCATCGTTTCTACCCACAGGCTGGCGGAATGGATGAAGATGTGAAAGCCAGCCAGCAAGCCGGAATCAGAAAGGCGAAATACACCTTCATCAACCTGAAACCAATTTGGAAATCTTCTCCACTGCACTCCGCCTCAGTATAAAGAACAAGATTCGGATTTTCAACACAAATGTCAAGTCAGTCAGTCAGCTCTTCTATACGTGTCAGAAACTTGCACTGCGTGTCACAGAAAGGATTTTCAACAAGTCACAGACTTTCATTAACAGCTAGCCCATTCGGTTTCTCCATACTGGAGATAAAATGGCCATCCAGCCGGCCGGAAAGAATTAGCAACAAGAAGCTCTGACTAAGAACAAACCAACCAACAGCCGACTGCTCAACAAATATGTAGGAGAAAATGGAGATGGATCGGGCATACACTGAGGAGGCATTGCGTACAATGCAGGCCATCCCTCGAGTGGAATCCAAATAGGAAACAAAGAGTGGGTCGTCGGTGTGAGGGTGACATGGAAGAGGTCGTCAAGGGGAGGAGATGAGAGACTACGATCAGTCGTGGACTCAGCTGAAGAGGATGGCAGACAAGAGAACAAAGTGGAGATGAGTTGGTGAAGCCCTATGTTCCATTTCGAACCCAAAGGAATAATAAAATAAAATTTGATGTGAGCTTCTGAAGTGTGAAAACTTGAACTAGTCCACTTTTTTGTAAGGTTATGCGTTGGTAGGTAAATTAGTCAGATAAAGGGGTACAGATAAATTTAATAATCCCATCGTAGCATTAAGAACATAATATTCAGCGGAGAGACTCTTTTCAACAACGATTTATTATCAAGCTGTACAATCGTATATATATAGTTTTTGAAAATTATATCCGATGACTTCACTATTTACCAATGTACCTCTTATGGAAACTGTTTACTATATATATGATTATATTGATACACATAGTTTAGAAATAGGGTTGCCGACAGTCTACCTCAAAGAACTTTTATTGAGATGCACGCTGAAAGTTCAATTCACCTTCATATGAGATTTTTAGACAGAGAGATGGCATTGCCATGGGATCACCACTGGGTCCTTTGCTGGCTGATTGTTTTATGGCAAAGCTTGAAAATTCTCAACTTAGTCAAACCATCGATCATTTCGACATTTATAAAAGACACGTAGACGACACTTTCGTTATCTGCGATAATAACGTAATTCTTGATGATGTCTTGTTTGCTTTCAACAACTGCCATCCTTCTTTACAATTCACCATAGAAAAGGAATCTGAACTAAGTATTCCATTTCTTGATGTGTGCCTTAGTAGACGTAATGACGGATCTCTCAAAAGATCCATCCACCGGAAACGTACATGGAACGGACAACTAACTAATTTTTACAGTTGGGTGCCTATCTCCAGGAACAGGAACCTAATTCATTCACTCTGCTTTAGGATAAGGAAAATTTGTAGTTCTGATTGCGTTGACTCAGAACTTGACTTCCTAAAAGCCACGCTTGCAGAAAACGGTTACCCAAACCGATTTATTGACAGTAGCATGAAAGATAAGCAGTCTAAGCTGGTCACTGACTCAGTTCCAAAGAAAACCTTATTCATGAACTTGGAATTCAAAGGTGAACAAGCTTCAGATATGCTCAAAAACCGTCTCTCTAAAGCAGTCAGTAAGATGTTCTTTGCAGCAAAATTACATATGACGTTCACTAGACGCAAGTTGTTCTCTACCTCTGTAAAAGATAAGCTCCCCCACCTGGCCGCCTCCATGTGCATCTATCAGTTCACCTGCTCTTGTGGAGCAAGGTACATTGGCCGTAGTCAGAGGACGCTTTCCACACGGATACGAGAACATATTCCAGCTGCATGGTTTTACAAGGGAGAAAGGAAGTGTGTGCGAAGCTCTATTCTGGAACACCTGATCGACTCCTGTCACTCTGTCAACCCTGACCATGATTTTAAGACCATACATAGAATCCATGCTAACTTCCCGCGTTTTCTTCGTTACAGACTTCTAAAGACAGCTGAGGCCTTGGCATTCATGACGTTAAGCCGGACCTATGTGTACAAAAGAAGTATGTACAATTCCTACTTCTGCCTTGGCCGTGGAAGGATAGACAATTATTTATTTATTTTGTTTAGTTAGTTATTCTATTTACCTTTCTCACATTACTACGATTATTATTATTATTATTATTACTATTCTCACTCTGAATCTTTTTCACTTGACCCACTTGACATTTTAAACCCAAAATTATTAATTTTTATATATTTTATTTTTACAATATTGAATTCTATCTTATCAAATTCCACACCATGTTATGAAACACTTTATATTCGTCTACTAATCCTATAATTATGTAACCCTTACCAAAATCTATACACCTTATGGGTTATTATATATATGTCGTTATTTATTTTGCCACTTGACATTAAACTATGATTATAATCACAAATATTTTGATTGCATTTCATACTATTATTATTTCATGTATTCACACCTTTGACCTAATTCCCTCACCGGATATAATTTCTTAAAATAACCATACGTGTATATACGATTGTACGGCTTGATAATAAATTCGTTGTTGAAAAGAGTCTCTTCGCTGAATATTGTGTTCTTAATAGAAATAAATTTATCTAAATTCATATAAACAAAAATATTGTGCATAACATCAACCGAATTTTCTCACAAACATCTTAACCAGGGCAAACATGTCATAGTTTTCACAGATTAATAGAAAATATTCGTACACAAAATTCCATTCTAGTTCAGCTGACATTGCCATATTATTTGACAGCGAAGCGTTGATTGATATGCTTGAAATATCTATATATATATGTATGTCAAACATTCTAGATGATAAATTTTCACATAACGTCAATCAAATAATGCACCTACGCTAACTAAAAATGATATGCCTTAATCTCTGCATTTCTCATAGGGTGATTTTGCAACGTTTAAAATAAAGTGAGAAAGTGTCAGGCGGTAGTTTTGAATTTTTTAACCCTAGTAATCTAGTCATCTAATGACGAGACATTAAGCACCTTTAACATTCAAACGAGAAAAAAAAGAAAAGTTAGGCTTTTAATTACAGCTGTTTTGTGCTAAGGCAAAGATACTAGACAGCAATACCCTACTTAGACATAGGCACACATCGTTCCCAGTTATATAATTCACTGAGTAAAGATAAGACTAACTACAAATCAGGCAAACTTAGAGAAATGTAAGGGAGAACAGATCAAGAAGCTTAGCGAAGATAACTGTCTTTTCAGTGATTTCATTCTCAAAATCAGCTGTACAATCGCATTTATACACATAAGTTTACATAGATCATTATTATTATTCCCTTGGGTTCGAAATCGAACATAGGGCTTCAACAACTCATCTCCACTTTGTTCTATTCTCTGCCGTCCTCTTCAGCTGGGTCCACGACTGATCGTAATCTCTCATCTCCTCCTACCCACACGATCTCTTCCATATCACCCTCGCACCGACGACCCAATCGTTGCTTCCCATTGGAATTCCATTCGAGCACTGGCCTGCATTGCACACGATGTCATTCGACAACCTACTCACCGTATGCTTGATCCATTTCCACTTTATTTGTTCAGCGATCGGCTGTTGGTTGGTTTGTTCTCAGTCAGAGCTTCTTGTTACTAATTATTTCTGGCCGGCTGGATGGCAATTTTATCTTCAGTGTGGAGCTAGCAAATGGGGCGGCTGTTAATGAAAGTTTGTGACTTGTTGGAAATCCTTTCCGTGACACGCAGTGCAAGTTTCTGACACGTATAGAAGAGCTGACTGAGTGACTGACTTCACATTTGTGTTGAAAATCCGAATCTTGTTCTTTATACTGACACGGAGTGCAGTGCAGAAGATTTCCAAATTGGTTTCAGGTTGATGAAGGTGTATTTCGCCTTTCTGATTCCGACTTGCTGGCTGACTTTCACATCTTCATCCGTTCCACCGGCCTGTGGGTAGAAACGATGTTTCTTGGCTGGATAAATGAAGGAAGTAACCTCTGTCAAATTTCTCCTGTTGATAGTGATTGGCGCTGGTTGTTGTTGCTATTGGTTGGTTATCCTTATCACCTCGGTCCGTCTTCTCTATGTTAATAGTATTCTTGTGTTCGCTGCTTGCTTCTTCGGCCTTTTTATGGGTTTTCTTTTGCAAGTCTTCGAGTTAGTGTGAGATTAAACAAAAGTCATTTGCGAAATCGAGATGTTTTACATAGATACAATTATTATTTCATTACACACAGTAACAAAGGTAGATTAAAGGTGATGCTAATTTTCAACTTGATATGAAAGTTCGAAGGTGTGAGTGTGAATATAGAAAACAAATAGATTAGAAATAAAATTACACGCAGGATTAGAAAATATTTGCGTTATGTGCAAAATAGTTTCACAAGAATTCGCAGCATTGATTGCTTAGAAGAAGATCTCTTATTTCTGAAAAATGTCTTGGCTTAAAATTAAATACTCGGCACGTTTCGCAAAGAAAAACAAGAAACCAAAGTCAAAAAAAGAGGAAAA